GACGGATTTACGCAATGAAAGTACACTCTGCGCATCAAGTATTTCACTATTTCATTCAGACGTAAATGTCAGATGTAAATTTCGCTAAAACATTTCTTTTATTTTCGTTTGTGTTTTTTGCTCATTACAGTTTAATAGAACCTAAGTATGGAGTTTAATAGCAAATTAAGAGGCCGCGTGATTAACAGTCAATCTCGCGAAATAATAGCCAATTGTTACGGGTTTTATTCTATCTGAACCTAGAGTAGTCTAAATTACCCTAGTTTACACTACTCTAAACTATTCTAACCTATCCTATTTCCTAGCCTACCCTATTGTAAATTATTCTAAACTATAACTACTTAAACTACCCTATTGTAAATTATTCTAAACTTAAACTACTCTAAACTAGGTTTTTCTATTCTAGACTATCCTAAACTATTCTAAACTAATCTAAATTATTTTAACTTATTCTAATGTCTATCCTACCCTATCCTAAATTAGTCTAATCTATCATACCTATTCCTATTACTATTCTACACTTAACTATTTACACTATTCTACTTCTATTTAATTTTAACTTACCCTAAGCTATTCTAATTACTAGACTAATCTATTACTTACCTATTCTACTATAACCTATGCTAATCTCTTTAGTTACCTTTCGATATAAGAGTGTGCGGTACATAAATGTATACAAATCAATAAAATAAGTCCATTAAATAAATTCATAAAATATCCATTTTTATCAAACATATTTTGTAGTAAAATATAAAATAATGTTTTGTAATAGAGTATAATCTCACCTGGAGTATATTCAATAATAATTAATACCTTAATAAATAATTTAAAATGTAAATAGATATATTTCGCTACGTTGAGCAATAACTCTAGCTCATTTAATTACTAAAAAGCTTTATTTTTATTGTTATTGTTTACAGGTCAATTTTAACTCCTTCAGTTGTCAGATTCTTCTAAATTTAAAAATAATGACCACAGTCTTACCAGAAATTATCCTATAAACCTTTGGTAGTCAGGGCCTTTATAAGACATTGACTTTTGTGGCCATTTTGTAGAACTTGCTTCCTGGGCCAGTTTTTGCTTGGATTTGCTAAAATATCATCTAGATTTTTTTAGGATTCATTCCAGCTAAAAATACATTTTATTCAGTTGAATAATTGTTTAATTAATCGTGTGATTTAAACACCAAGTGGTGGATTTATTATTCAACTGAGTGTACATCATACATAATTTGTGAAAACTTAAGAGGTCACACAACATCCAAGGGTGAGTTTTAAAATTAATTATGTCTCTTCACTTACCTATATATTTCCTACAGCCTTCTGTAAACATATAGTTACACTCGTCAATGTTTTTCAGGACCTCCTTCCTCCCTTTGTTCGTTCGCTCGTTTCTTTACTTCGTTTTATTCTCGAAGACCTTCAACAAGTAAGAATACCTGCGTGCAAGCTTCTCGGCTTTGCAACACTCAATAAGCAGGCCATCAGCTGTTGCCGTTTTGCCGCTAGCACAGAAATCGCCCACAGACAAGGTAGTTCTTGTTACGCTACCGTTTGCTGCCAATCTACCCTCATAATCTATCGCAGGATATCTGGACATCCATTGTGGTTATTTCAAGACCAAAACCCCGGATTTTCAAGTAAGACGGTCTCTGTTATTAGTTTTGCGACTTGAGCCCCATTTAGTGCTCCGACCTAACCCCAACCGGTCTGGAGGCATTCCCTACGACGGTATCAATTGTAAATACTTTACATAACGTGTAGTTACTAATTATAAGTAGTTTTAAGGGTTTTAAGGGGATTCATTTCATTATAGATAGTTATAAACATTTGCATACCTGATTTGCCGGATTTTGTAAGCGACAAGTACTTGGCGTAAACCGGAGAACCATTCGTCTGTTTTTTATAAGAAATATTTTATCTTTAACATATTTTTTTCCCTCATACAGTAATCTTTGGATCCAATATAAAACATTTTATGATTTTCATTTCTTATATCTCCCATTTTGACAACTTGGATTAAGGTTAACATTTCACCCGAAATAAAGTTAACTTCACACTCTGTCAATCAAATCTTTTTTTTTTATTTATTTATCCCACACCCTTGAGGTATTGCAGCGACTTCTCTGTTAGGAAAATTTGGCAATTTCGAACCCGAACAGAACAGAGAAGGCTTGCGTAAAACAATGTTATAGAGTTTATGACAAGAGAAGGAAACTTTAATTCACCTTCAATACCATTTAAAAATGTAAATGATCGTGTTGCTGCAGCCACAGGAGTATCTAAAAACACTGTCGTCCGCATTTCTGGAGAGAAAAAAAGAATCGATAACCGTGAGATATCGGAATTTTCATCACCAAGAAAAACCATTAAAAAACCAAAAACAGTTAATGATATAGATGAAGCTGCACAAGAATCAAATTTTATATTTTTATTATTAGATAGCTATTTTTGTTTCTGAGTTGTGTTCATTTACAGGCTCAATTTTTTTCCGTTTCTCCTTTTTGATTTTATATGGGGTTTCAAGTTGTTTTTGACTTATTTCGACGTAAATCACAACAACACACTTTTTTAATAAAGCAAACAAGTGTCAAGAGGTATATGTACGTGTAAACTACAATTACAAAAAATTGATATGAAACCCATGAAACCACCAACAAAAATGTAAAGCTAGCTTCCGTACTAGAACATGGTGTCATTCGTCAAGATAATTTATCGTTTTGTTTAATAGATCAAGAAATGTAAATATTCCCGTTATTTTTTATAAAATTATAAGAGAAATAAATTTTTTTCTAAATAGTATAGTTTATTATTTTGTAGAAAAACAAAATTTCGAAAATTTTAGTGATGTTTCAGAAACAACCGTTATTAATAATAGGTACCATTTTCCTTAATAAGGTAGAAATAAAATATAAACTATTTCCACTATTTACAAAGGCCTACAAAAAAATTATAGGTATTTTCCGCTATCCTATAAAATTTATATTTTCTGACTCAATTTCAAAAGGTTGAAGGAATTCCAAAACACCTTTTATGGCATAATAATTATTTTCAATTCTACATACTATCTTTAGCTGCTTTTAAAAACGTTCTAAGAAAGTCCAATCAGACCAATTTAATCCCTAAACTATTCCACACTTTTAAAATTTAATTACCTAAAAATATTAAAAACTATTTAAAATAACTTGTTTAGCAGACTGTACAATAGCTATCTTAGTCACACGTAGCGCGTTCTCTGTCTGGGCGTCGAACACCTCTAGAAATTTGATAAACTGTATACAGATCCATCCACGATACTACGAACACGGTCAACACATACTTTGATTTTCTTTTACTATACGGAGAATGATCGCACTGCGCAGCTTTCTGAGTGCCTTTTAAAAGGAGATAGAAAACTCCGCCATTTTGAACCCTTATTACGTGTTGATTACGAAATGATCTTCCACGACCATGTGCTATCAAAAGAAAAAGAAAGGTTTGAAGTTTAAGGCAACTGTCAAGTCTTCAGGAAACTTCCTGTATTTAGGAACTTTTGCAAATAATAAGATTGTCAACACTAGTGCAATTAAAAAAAAGAAAAAGTATTTGGTGACAATAATTATTAATGCCATTGGAGCACCTTTTGACATTCTATAAAGGTTATGTTTAATGTTTATTTTTTAACCGAGTTTTCATTATTAATTATTGATTTGAATAACACAAAATATGGTAAAATACATATTTTTCTTTATCTTATCATAATGTTCTGTTGAATGCATAGGGACAGATCAACTTACTGCATGCTACCTGCATACTGATTTTGATTGACACATATGTTGCATAAATCATTTAACAACGGTTAAATGCAGGTCTAACTCGCAAATAGTCTGCAAATTAACTTCAGTAGATAACCTTATTTAATTTGTGTTTAAAAATTTTTTATAGAGCGGTAATACCTGCATAGATTCTGCAAATTACCTTGACTAAAGTATTGTTCTTTTGGAGGCTACATGTAAACTAGGTCTGTCTTTCACTAGCCGTTAACTGCTTTATGCAAGGAGCAGCTACTAGCAAAGTTATGCAGAATATTTAAGTTGATCTAACATTAAAGATCATATGAAAATAATTACGAAGACATAATCGAGTCTTGTAGATTATATGGAACCAATATGCAGTTGGAAAAACTATGTATTTAAATTAAGCAGATCTGTGTTACTTTGATATCATCTTGAGTTTATAATAATGCCTTTCTAATATTCAGTAACATGTTTCATATGTTGTGACCAACCTGTTTCACAGAAGGAACGAATTATTTTCAACTGACAATCATTATTAATTAATTGTGGTTTTAAATTATGACTTTCGTACGTCTGACATTTGTACATAAGACCTTATACAATGAATAGCATATTAAAATTCATCAATGGATTTTAATCCCTTTTCAGACAGCATTGATTTTACTTCCAAAGTGCTTTACCATTTTAAAACTTTTATACGTGCAAGCGAATTAAGTATAGCCCGCAAATTCCATTAGGGACTGGACTCAAGATTGCTTATTATATCCTGATGAGTCATAATAAAGATGAAACAGATCGAAGAATGACGTTATTCTTAGGAAACAAAATCAAAGTTTTAGGTTGACAATTATTTTATGTCTCTGCTGTTTTTTATCTGTTGCGGAATTATCCAAAGGAGTAGTTGTTTTCAGGAAAGAAACGGTCGTTCGATGTTTCTGTGACACAACTTTTAAGGTTTTTCTCTTTTTACTTAGATTTTAATTTTTTAACATATTTCTTTTAATTCTAAAACATTATTTCACTTACAAATTATAGCATGATGTTTTGTGAGTTTTAGTTTATCATTCATGTCACTTTTTAATGAAAGAATTGTATGATACAAAAATGTATAATTTTTTAAATAAATAAAACCAAAAAAACATAATATTTATATAATTAATTTTTTAATGAAAAAAACATGAAAATATTTTTAAAGATCGTTGCCATTTGGACGTAGTAACGTGACGTAATTTCGAGTACACTTAACAAGTTCCACTACTACTTCTTGGGGCGTGGCTCCTTTTTTAACTAAACAGTTTTTGAGAACTAGATCATGTTTGTCCTGTGCTGGGGTGAATGCAGCTAAGGCCTTTCTAAACTGTTCTTGATCAATATCTCCGTTATCGTTTCCAATGTTAAATTTATTGTACATACACAGCAAATGATCACCTACTACGTTAGCTTCTATTGGATCGCCGTTAAATATTTTTTCAATTTCCTTTTCATCTGTATTGGTAGAGGATTTGCATTCGTTGTAGAACTTTGGATACTGTGCAGCTGAATTTAACACAGCCCCGTTTATCTGAAAAGTATGTTAAATATTTACATAATGATCTATTTTAAAGTGATTTAATACAAAATTTGATATATACCTAAATAGAATTAATCGACTTTATGTAAACTTTGTAATATCAGTTTTAAGAAAAAAGTAAAGTTTGATTATTTTAATTTACTAGTGATTTACGTATATATTTGTAATTTAAAAAATTAAATTTAACCATTATTAGTAGAGCTTCAATCGTTAAAACTTATGTGGTATATCCTTTAAATTATTTACAGACTATTTTCGCAAGCTCATTCTACAAGTATCAAAAATTTACCAATATACCTCGTTCTAGTTGCAGTTAACCAGGAAGAGTCTGTTAAAGGTTAGGCGATATGTCATGTGTTACGAATTACCCTGTATTTGTCTATTTGATATTACCCTGTATTATTTTAAGTTTACTTTATTTTAGTCAGTTTGTCAGATTGTGTTTAATGTAAAAAATCTGATGTGTCCAACACAAGACTTTCATATCTAGTTATTATAGGCTTTTTCCGGTTATTTTGTACAACCTATTGCAGCATCTCTATAAATGTTTAGAGAGAGAGATATGCTTTATTGTCGTAAAAAAAATTTACAAAAATTTTATAGACAAAGCGTGTAACTTAAATACTAAACATATTATAAAAATAACTGAACAGCAGAAAAAACAAACAGAAACAAACAGACAAAATAGGAATAACAATTGCAATGGATATGCAATATCCGTCATTATAATTATTCTAATTTAATTTTTAAATTTAAATTTAAATTTAAACTTTAATATTTAATTATTTAATTATTGCCATTGTATGTGGAACTCAAATGTCTAAGGTACGTTATAAAATTCTGCTACTGTGTAATATGGTCTTTCTAGAAGAAAAGCTTTAGCCAGTCTTCGGAACTTATCGTATGTATTTATAGATTTTAATTGCATCGGAAGGTTATTATACAATTTTTTGGCATTGTAGGTAATGGAATGTTTTAATAGGTCAGAAGTGGGCATTGTTAAATAAACATCAGTCTCTAAATTTCTTGTAGGATATCTACGAGTCGGTCTTTCGGATAAATTTTGAATGTGCTTGCGAACTAAGCAGACGGATTCGAAAATAAATAGAGCAGGAAGGGTTAGAATTTTGAAATTTTTGAAGTAATTTTCGCAATGTGTCCTACTACTTAAACCAAATACATAGCGGATTGCTCTTTTTTGCAGTTTAAAAATAGATTCGAAAAGGTATAAGCTACAAGAACCCCAGAAAGGTAAACCATAGCGAAGGTGAGATTCGAATAAGGAAAAGTAGGTTATTAATGCAGTAGAAGGAGTCAGCTCTTTAGAAACCGATTTAATGGCAAAACATGCGGAGGATAATTTTTTTGCTAAGGTATCTATACCATTTTAGAGAATCGTCTATATAAAGACCTAAAAACTTGATTGAAGTCACCGTTTGGATCAGATTATTGTTTAAAGTTATAGGTTGTAAAGTACCTCTGTAAGACAATGCTACAGTTTTACTGGTGTTGAAACAAAGTCCATTCGAATCAGACCAGGACTTAATAGTCACTAGATCTTCACTTATGATAGATTGTAATGTCTGCATGTTAGAATTATTCCAGGTTACACTGGTGTCATCAGCAAATAAAGTAATTCTACCACTTATTCTTAAGTCTGTGATGTCGTTGACGAATAATAAAAACAAAATTGGACCTAATACTGATCCTTGAGGTACTCCACTGCTTATTGCTAGATTTGTAGAATCCTCACCATTCGCCCGCACCTGTTGATTTCTATTTTCTAGGTAAGTTTTAAACCATTGTAAAGGAGAACCCCGTATGCCATAAATTTGTAACTTATTAATTAAAATATCATGATTTACACAATCGAAGGCCTTTGCGAAGTCACAAAATACTGAAGCGGTGAAAAGTTTATCATTAAGTGATGTGTATATTTCATTAAGAACGGAAAACATTGCGTCGCTAGTGCATTTTTTAGGTAGAAAGCCATACTGATAAGCTGTGAGGATGTTATGCTTGAAAAGAAAGGGCAAAAGACGGTTTTTCATTAGCCGTTCTACTATCTTCGATAAGGTAGGCAATAACGCGATAGGTCTATAGTTACAGGTTTTGGTTTTGTCGCCACCTTTATGAAGTGGGATTATTATAGCTGTTTTTAGACAGTTAGGAAAGAGACCAATTTCAAAGGATTCATTAATCAGTGAAGTTAAAATGTTGATTACTACATCCGGTATATTTAGAAATATTTTGGTGGACAGGCCATCAATTCCACAGGAAAATTTATTTTGGATGTTGTTTATGGTTTGCACTAGTTCATGCTTGTCTACTGGTCTTAGGAAGAAACTTTCAGTAATCCTTTTAGTAGGTAGGAGGAAGGAGAGAGCATCCTGACTCGGAGCTATGTTAGATTTGATATTTTTACTTACATTTACGAAATAATTGTTTAGTTCATCTGGGCTAGGATTTACACTGTTTGAAGAACGGGTTTTATTCCTTAAGTCATTTATTATAGACCAGGTTTCTTTGGAGGAGTTTTTAGCTCTTGCGATGCGATTTTTGTAATAGTTTTTCTTAGCAGATTTGGTGATTTTCCGATACAATATTCTGTAGTTGTTGATATAGTTTAATATTAGGGGATTATCTGTGTACTTTTTAATATACATGAGTGACCTCATATTTTTAGATGATGTTCTTATTCCTTTAGTTGTCCAAGATTTATGAAATTTAGTTTTAATGGGGCGAAGGGGGAAAGCTGTATTGAAACACATAATTATTTTATTTAAGAAGTCTAAAAATTTAGAGGATAAACTAAATATATACATTGTCCACATACATCTACCTCGAAAAATTTTTCTATAGATATTCATTGAAAACGAAAATACTGAAAATTTTAATTTAGCACTTTTCCATTACGGTCCATTTTAGAAAAATCATGTATAAACAAAAATTATAGAGATCGATATCGCAAACAACTTTAAGTTCAACAATTTTCATAAAAATCAGAATTTTGCACATTTTGTCAAATTTCTCGAATACGGACCATTTCAGGAAATTTTGACATAAAACAAAAATTATAGATAATAATATTAGAAGTAACTTTTATTTAAACAATTTTCTTCTCCAAACATAAACAACAGATATATTCCATAAAATATAAAAACGGCCTCCCATAAAGTACCCCCCTAGATGTTCCGACTTTGTCCAAAATCTGATAATTTCACGTCAGGCCGAAATAAAACTTAGGTTTAAAATTTAATGTTTTTTTCTTTATCCGTTTTTGAGTTTTCTTCAAATTTCGAAATTTATACATTTTCTCAAATATCTCGAATACGGTCCATTTTAGAGAAATTATGTATGGTATAAAAATTATAGAGAATTATATTACAAACAACTTTTGTTTGAACAATTTTTATAAAAAAATATTTTTTTTACATTTTGTCAAATTTCTCGAATACGGACCATTTTAGGAAAATTTTGTATAAAACAAAAATTATAGATAATTATATTAGAAGTAACTTTTATTTAAAGAATTTTCTTCTCCAAACGTAAATAACAAATATATTCCATAAAATATAAAAATGATCACCTATAAAGTACCCCCCCAGATGTTCCGACTCTGCCCAAAATCTAATCAATTCATAAGACTCTGGAATAAAGCTTAAGTTTAAAATTTGGTGTTTTTCTGTGTATCGGTTCATGAGTTATGCGACCTACAGACACACACAAGACACACACGCACACACAGAGACATCATCGCGAAAATAGTCAAAACGGATTCAGGGGACCTCAAAACGTAAAAATCCGTCGAAAACTCGAGGTCGAAAAAAATCATGATTCCTATACTTTCCTTATATCTGTATACAGATAGGAAAGTAAAAAATTATTAAAATATGAAAAGGTTTTGTTTGGAAGTTTTCTTTGTATTTTATTCCAAAATACATTTTCACTGATCGTATTTCCTGACTGGTTAGGTCAACAAATCCGTAATATATTGGCGACCGTGACAGTTTTTGTGAAATAGCTAATATACAACGAATCCTAGATGTGCAAAGAACTTCCTTTTCAAGGATATATAATTCCCTCAAAGATATTTGGGCTGTACCCGATTACAGTATAAGCGAAGTTTGTTAGACAAAAATATAGAAGCTATTGATGAACTAGATAAACTTCTTTTGCATTTTTTAATAAATGCTTATTCATCCAAAGAGGACATTGATAAAGAGGTAAAATTAGCCAATGAGTATTTATCTAGTTACCATTAATTAAAAGCAGAAATTATCAAAGATTAAGTTTATTAAATTTAGTGGGGAACCAAAAAACTGGTTGCCATTTTGGAGTCAGTTTGGAAAAATCCATAATGATAGCAGCATAGAAATTAAAGTTATCACCTAACTCGAGAAAACAATCCTAGAGTAATTGAAAGTTTAAAGTCACGTTTTGGTAGGAAAGATCTTCTTATTGAAGTTTATGTTCGAGAAATTTTGAAGTTAGTATTGTCCATTAGTATTTCCCATAAATGTTCTTTGAGTAACTTATATAACTAGTTAGAATCCTTAGATTATACAAACCTTAGATGGAACATAAGACACTGCGCATAATCCCATTTCGAAATTATTCACACCCACCAATCACAGTTGAGAACATCACATGTCAGAGCGTTGTCCATCCAAATTTAATGTCAACGAGAATTAATTTGGTTTTTTAGTGACTTAAATTTTGGAAATTAACGTTTAAAATGCCAAGATGTGTTGTAGAAAGCTTTATTTACAATAAAAGTGCGAAATGTGACGGAGATAAAAGAAACTTATATTTATTTCGGTGAGATTTAATTTTTAAAGATTCTGTCGACGTCCATATTTGTTGATTTGAAAATAAACAGAATCGGACTTGGTCATTGGTACATGTTATAAGTAGCAAATAAAGGTTATTTTTATAAACTGTTTACTATTTGTTGTTTCATGGTGAATCTGTTTTCAGGAAGTGGAAAG